TCAAAAAACTTTCAACATACGGTTTGCATGGAAACTTTTTAAATTGGATAGCATCTTACTTAAATAACAGACACTCTAAAATCGTGGTGAGTGGATACGCTTCTGACCCGTTCCCAGTTACATCCGGGGTTCCCCAGGGATCTCATTTGGCCCCTATTCTGTTCACAGTATTCATAAATGATATTACAGAATATATCAGACACTCAGATTGCTATTTATTCGCAGATGATCTGAAAATAACTAGGGCGATAAACAGCTCTCATGACATTCAATTACTGCAGGAAGACTTGCACAATCTACATCAATGGTGTCTAATTAACAAAATGACCCTAAATATAGAAAAATGTAAATGCATACGATTCACCAGAAGAACAAAAAGAACCCCACTAAATTATAAAATAAACGGTATAGAATTGGAAGAGGTAGAAGTAATCAGAGATCTTGGAGTATACCTTGACAACAAATTAAGATTTCACAAACACATTGATAAAATAACAACTAAAGGTTTCAAAATGTTAGGGTTTGTTATCCGCAATAGTAAATGTTTCAAAAATTCTTCCACAAAAATTCTATTGTTTAAAACATTAATACGTTCAGGCCTCGAGTATTGCAGTCAGATATGGTCCCCCCACTATGAGATTCACGTAAAACGCGTAGAATCAGTACAAAAGAGATTCATGTGGCATCTTACATACCAAAGTCTTCTTGCAAAGAGCTTACAGTCCTATCCATCACGCTTGTTACACTATAAGATAAACACTCTGCAAGATCGTAGGCTATTACTAGATCACATGTTCTTATACAAGTTAATTAACGGTCATATTGATTCCCCAACGCTTTTACAAAAACTAAAAATTAACGCCCCGAACAGAATACCGAGGTTCCGTAACTACGCGCCTTTTGTATTAACCACATCTAAAAGCAACCTCGGACTTTACTCTACCATTAATCGTTTATGTAAGCAATACAATAACTTGTCCAAAAAACACATCGATTTAGATATTTTTTCAGATCGGCACTCTGCCTTTAAACGTAAAATTCTATCTTCTTTTCAAAAACAAAAACATTGAGCCTTGTCCCCCCCCCCCCCCTTTACGATATTTTATTCAAAAGTTTTTTCTATTTCATACTGTTAGACAATACTGTTAAATTAACGATAACATAGGCTACATCTTATGCATGATGTGGCAACCTATAATTAAGTCTACACTTAGTCATAAATTAATTTAATTTAAGTGAAGCCCATGTATCAGTGTAAGAACTTGTTGGTTGTCCTAATAAATAAATAAATAAAAATTAATTGATTAATGAAAATCTCATCAATGTGATTATGAATGCAAAGGAGTTCTCAAGTTTTAGATAAATTTCGATAGTTCTAACATTTTCGTTTACAAAGGTAGAAAGGTAGAAAGGTAGAAGAGGTAACAAAAGTTAAAAGTTGGCAACACTGGTTCAATCGACAGAAAGGGACGCAGCTATTCTGTACGTTGGACGGGATCGTAGGTATACCTACGGCGGCGCGGCGATCGGCGCGGTGGGGCGCCGAGCCGCTGCGCCGTGACCGCGGTGCGGTGAGTTCAAACGACTCGCGCTAGGTAGAAATTGAACAGCTGATTTCATGCGTAGTTCTTTAGAGAATTCACACAACCATTGCGTATTTTTTTGTTTTAGCTGTGTTATTTACATTAATGTTATTCTTCATACATAGAATGTAATTATACATTGAAAGAGAAGTGTAGGAACTGAAAAAACGAAAAAAAAATTGAAAATTTTCCTGAAAGAATTTTCACTGGAATATGATTCAGAATAAGGAGCTGAATGCACCCTGTTAATTTGTGGAGGGCTGTCCCTTACACCCTGTATATACGTATATGCAGTCATAGTCCCGATGATTCCCCCAACCTCTTCAAAAGAAGCTCCCGAACTCTCTGCTTGAAAGACAGCCGACTAGTCAGGATCCTGATATCGGGGGGTAGCGCATTCCACAGAAGAATAGCCTACATTATGTGGTAATTAATAAATAATAAGACGACTGTGATTAATAAAACGCTGTTTTATTTAGAAAAACTGCTGTAAATAATATAAAAATAGAAGCTATATTTAAAAGAAAAAGAGTTAACAGGTATAATGTGCATTAAAATTATTAGCTGTGCATTGATGAAAAAGCTTTTGCTTTAGGAAAAATCGCTGTTCGCTGCGAAAATAAATTGTAGTGTGTTTAGTGATATTTTGAGTTGAATATTATGCTGTGCAATCAGTAATTTTGATGGGAATTTGGAATCTTATTGCATAGAAAAAGGATATTTTTTGATTTGCTTTTAAATACTACCCATTTTTAGCGCTAACGTAGAATCTGGATTTTTCCTAATTTCTCGTATTATCTACTTACTTAGGTACATCTATACTAATAGTCTGTCTTTTCTTCTGCGATCGATATCGAATATCGATTTCTGTAAAATTTGGTACAGACATAGTTTGGAACTCGAGAAAGAACATAGGATAGTTTTTATACCAAAAATCCGTTGGAAGTCACTTTTCCACGCGAACGGAGTCGCAGGCAAAAGCTAGTATGAATAATAAAAAAGATTCTAAAACAGAATTTGGTATTTATTTTCGAAACAATGATGCAAATATGTTCGTCAAAAAAAAAAACACTGAGGACATACGGACGGGTCCCGTTCCACACATCCATCAAAACAAATAACAATATCAACGCAAAAATTTCGTATGAATGTTTTCAAAACCGTTCTGTGGTCAGTCATCATTAATTTCAACAGACAGGGGTACGTCATGACGTCATGGGAGCTCCGTGATTTAAACGGTGACTTTAAAATGCTTGTCTCCAATATGACACCCTTTATTACTTTTGAAGAATTGAACATTTTGGGCGGGTTTGTATTTTCATGGGGTTTATACCTTTGTGTCTAATTAAAGTGCTTATTTTGTTTAATAAAAACCTGCATACTCATTCGCCTACCCATCCCGCAAAGAGTTGTTCCGTACTAAAATCAAACAGCAGCTTAAAAGAATTTTCATTCGACAACGTATAACAAATGACTGTCGCTTTATACGACATTTTCAGAATCTGATGATGAATTTTTATACCTTTCCATTAAAATTTCTGCACTCAGTATGGGTCAGGAAAATTAAAGATCTCATATCATTTGCGATCATGCCCGTTAAGGCAATTATGACTGATGTATCCAACCTCTAACGAGCATATCAAATTCTATGCTTGACACGCAACGCATTAATTACAGCAGTCAGTCGAGTATCTGGTCTGAACGATATTGCTATATATTGCTTCCTAACTAGCAACTAGATGTCGGCTGTAACCTTTGAACCAGGCATTAGTATACCGAACGCATCACCAATGCGGTTCCCATACCTCAACGGAGAGGATTACCGCGAGACTTCATATGTACTTGAAACTGTAATTATTAGGTATATCATATTGATGTTTAGGAAGTTTTGTAATGTTCAATACCTTGACTATCATGGGCATTGATGGAACTGAGAGCTTTTCTTATATTAAGAAACATCCTTGCCAAAATATCCCTATCTTTTGCTGATATTATCATCTTTCAATCTCCCATTTTCTCCCCTACCGGAACACATTGTCGGTGTACCGTTGCTATGCTCGTCTCCTAGACTTTCGATAAGTAAATATTTAACGTATTCAACCCCCTAACTCACCCCTTATCGCTACGGAGCGGGACTAATTTCCTTACACCATATTTTCCGACATCATTATTTTGCTAGCACAGAGAGATATTTTAAAAATTTCGTGGAGAAAGGAATATTTATTTTTCATTTTTCAAGTAAAGGATGAATGCTAATGATGCCTTATTTTAGTTAAATATATAATGTAAAATTTGTGTAGTGCTCGCCTACATTTTATTAATTTAAACAAAAATGCATTGACTGGAGGTGATGTAAATAACTTTACCCCAGACTTGGTTACCTACTGTGTATACGGTTTTCTGAGAAAAAGAACAAACGAAAAAACAACGTACCTTGGCTATAAGAAAATAAAAATCGTTTTGAATTGCCTCTGTACCAACAATGGCTCAAAAAGCCAAGAGACTTGTTGGCAGGCGGGGCCTGTGGTGGCACAGGCAGGGCCCAACAAGATTGATGTTCGATCGGGGTTGAGGGTCAAGCGCAATATTGCACCCCGGCTTGGAGCAGGAGAAGGAAAAAGGTGGTTTTTAGTCAGTAAGAATCTGACACCTTCTCTCGTCTCACCTAGGGTAAGAGAACATGTGCTAAATATCCCATTTATAACAATATACCTATAATTATGTCTACCAAAACATTGATGATTCCAAAATAAAGTTCGTTGTTGCTTCCGAGTTCAGATGTATGAACACGAAGATAAATAGTCGGTACAATGATTCTGTGCTCATTCATTTAAGAGTCTTGTTTACTTGTACCCCTGTGCCCTGTTTACTGTTATTGTAATGTTGTTGTATCAACATTTTCGTTTATGACGCCATCTTGTGACTGTCTCCGTAACACTTTTACCATTTGATTCTTCCTCTCAAAGGTTAATGGGAGTTTGTATTTTTATGTTTTTATTTTTTGTGTTTCCAAGGCACAGTGTCAAACTGAGATCCTTTCTGTTACCTTGTTAGTAAGACGTTAATGAGATGCAATTCGCTGTGGGTTATGAATAGTGCGGAAAATGTGCATGTTGGGTAATCGATTACCCGATGGTAAGCAATCGGTGCCGCCCACGTACGCCCGCAAGACCTCAGGAGTTTCGACATTTGGGGATGGGGCAGCAAAAAGAGGGGAGAAATTGGACCTCCGTCAATAGGTATAACTCACACAGCGAAACAACGCTGTGGTTGTTTCAGTCCAATTTTTCGTTAGACCATGGCCAAGTGATTATAGTGATGAATAAAGTTACATATTATGTCTATTCTTTATGTTATTTAAAGAAAATAATGTGACCTAATAACATTGTGATTAAAAGAGTCCCGTCGATAAAAGTTTTAAATATTTATTTATCTTAGCCTATATTTTATTTACATTTACATATATATTATCAACTAAACCTACTTTAGCATTACATACAAGCTTAGCATTATGAGGTAGACGTTCAGGACTATGGTACCAGCTCCTCCGGGTGAAGCATCAGGTGCTGCGGTTGCGGAGGTTTCAGTGCTTGGAGCGCTAGTTGGGGGATCGTCAACCACGATCACTTGGTCATTCTCAGGGAAGTTGTTTTCTTGACTGAAAATATAATAAAAAAGGAAACAATTAAATTACAATTCTGTATTTTAAATCTTGATGAAAATAAATCAAAATTTCCCTTGGTCATTGTATGTGGAAGAAAAGTTTAAGCGTGAACGACTTGACTAATTCCGGTACTTAAATAATTTTATACCATGTTTTCTAATATAAAAAAAGTAGAAGAATATCGGGAAATAGTTATTCTATCAGGTCTTAGTAATTTTCTAACAAAACAAATAACACCAAGGTGCACACAACATTATTTAAAAACTTACCTAGCCTTTTTAATCTCTTCAATAATATAATCTGTGACTAATTCCTTAGCGTCGGCTGCCGCCACGAAGTCACCATGTTCGAAGCTGGTCCTCGCGACCTGGCGAGCCACGGCTCTTGGGATATCAGCGACCATAGCTAGCACATCCCTTTCATCAAGCAAATTATCATTTAATGTGTAATGCATGGTCACAAAAGTAGTTATTTTACTCAAATCGTATTTAGGTGGTAGTTCTGATCCATATTTCTCCTGGTTTCCTGTAGATCCGTAGTGATACCGACGGAAGATTTTGTCTCTTATGTTCTGGCCGTAATGTGCCATTTGCTTTAGAGCTGCTCCTGGCTGGTCGGTGGCTGCGTTGTAGTTGTTCTGGGAAAATATTGATTCATGTTAATACATCTGTATTTTTTAGACATAATGATTTCTTTGATGATGATCAGAAGTGTTCATCATCATCATCAGCCTATAAGTGTCCACTGCTGAGCAAAGGCCTCTTCTCATACGGAGAAGGTTAGAGCATTTTAATCACCACGCTTGCTCAATGCGGGTAAGCGATTTCAATTATAAATCCAGGTTTCCTCACGATGTTTACCCTCACCGTATGTCAATGGTGTCTAAATAATCATAGAAAGTACATATAACTCGGAAAAAGCCACATTGGTACTTGCCAGGTTTCGAACCCACACCCTCATGCATGAGAAGCAGGCTGCTTAACCTCCGGGCCATCACGCAAGAAGTGTTATCGAGGCAGAATTAATAATTTTTATTTGTCAACGACGGACTTCTCCCGCTCTAGGCAGAGCGAGTGGAAGTGTTAGGCTCTTAAAGACTAAAAACTCGTTCCTTTTCCTGATCCGAATTGCATCTGGGGTTGCCCAGGAACAAATTGTACCCGTTAGTCTTGTGGCACTTACACATGCAATTGAATATAAACTGTTTTGTTTCTTAGCTCCCAATAGCTATTTTGAATCAATACCGTCAAGATCAAATCAATCAATTTTTATTAGGGAATTTGATTGCCTACATATCGTTGACTAGATTCAAGAAACCCAACAGAAGTATTGCTTTCCCTTATAAGAAATATTTCTCGACACAATTATTAATGTGGCTAATTGATTGGCTAATCGCATTCGCAGCTTTACTAATAAAAACAAAGATCGTGTACACTCATACGAAAAAGTGTTACGATAATAACTCACGTGTTGATTAATCATTTTAAATGGACATACATAATTGATTGAATAAATATAATCTGTGTATTTTGTACATACATATTATGTCCACATGTTTATTCAATCAGTTACAATAATAATTTGTTTATTAAAATTTATTAATGGTGATCAAAAATTACATTTATTGTTACTTCATTTCGCTATATCAAAAGTTAAATATAGGTAATTTTGCTTTTTTATCCTACTAAAGTGTGTTTATTTTTAACCTATTTTAAGATGTTGTTGACCTTTATTTATTAGACTAACTTTACGATTTACTTTTATACTACTTCGTATAATATCTACTTGATGTCGAAATCTTAAAAAGTCTTTTGTCACGCAAAGAAATTATGCATTCTTTTTTTTGGAATGTCATCAAATGTCTTCCTTGCCTGGCGTATGGCAAGACGAAGTGTCAGCAGATTCTTACTGAGTAAAAACTACCTCGTTCCTTCTCCTGTTCCGGGCCAAGACCGCGATACATTATTACTGCTTGCATCCGCAATCCCGGACATTTATGTATACTTAAAGTGCTAAATTAAACCTTATGCATCGTATATAAAGCGGAAAAAACAACAGATGGTTTTTATGGTATCTACCTACATAATTTCGCAAATCATCATTAAATTCAATAAATATATTAGCAACAACATCACATCAACCTACTCCTATCTTTCTTCAATCAATACAATGTCAACTTAACTGCTTTGTTATTAAGTCTAAAACCTATTGAAGAAATTAATTTATCTTTGTACAGAATTGTACTTTGAATTGGCCTAAAGGTAAATAGGTGTAGCCATAAAAGTATTTAAGACAATTTATAACACATATAAACAGTCACAATAAAAAGATTCCGGTATTGATAAAAGATAAAAAAATCAATATTGTAAATATTGTATAAAGTAGGTACCAATCATCATCACCTTCCTGCCCTTGTCCCGTTTTATGTGGGGTCTGCGCAATGTTTTTTTCTTCCATTCTGCCCTGTCACCCGTCACTCTATCACTGACTCCTCTGTCTTCCATATCATTTCTCACACAATCCAGCCATATTTTCTTTGGTCTCCCTCTCCCTCTCCATCCATCCACATTTATACTCATGGCTTTTCAAAGTAGGTACCAATATTGGCAATAATTCGGTTTACCTAGTAGGTACATAAATATGGTATTTCCCAATAATAATATGATTGGTAAATTATTTTATTTTATATTTCAGTGAAAACCAGATGCATATGATAATTTCGTAGAAATAACTATTATTCGGCCTAAAACCTAAACTGGCTTTTTATTTAAAAATCAATCAATCAATGTAACAATTATTGTTTTACGAAAATAAATATTTGTATTTTTTTTTATAGAGGCCTAAATATATGGTTGTCGTGGTGGTACGAAGGTTAAGACATCCGCTTCCCATTTATGATTACTACTGACAAACGGTGTAGCAAAACATCGAGAGGAAATCTAGACTATATTTTAAGTTTGAAATCGTTAATCTGCCTCGAGCAAGTGTGGTGATTAATGCTCAAACAATATCCGTGTGAGAAGAAGGCTTCGATCAGCAGCGGGCAGTGGGGATACAGCGGACTCACAGAAAATCGACGTGAAGTAAAACTTACGCTTAATTTCGCTGTGTGAGTGATGTTACCGGAGGCTCAATCCTTCCCCCCCACCCTCAATCCTCCTATCCTTAAACCGGCGAGAGGCCAGCAACGCACTTATGCAACTCTTTTGATATTACAAGTGTCGATTGGCTGCGCTGATTGCTTACCATCAGGTAATCCGTCTGCTCTTTGTCGACCTATGGCATAAAAAATAATCGAAAATTCTAGAACATATGAAGGTTATTTAATAACTTACCGTAATACGAGTGATGCCAAAGATTTGACACATGTACTCCATGCGTTTACTGCCAAGACAGTACGCCGGCCATTCGAATATTTCTTCAGGCAGCATCTGAATGGAGTTAGGAGGGAACAGCTCCACGGCTCCCGCTTGTAAAGCAGTGTACTGAAAGATAGAGAAACATAAAATCGTCAAAAACAAAACCATACTTGTCTAACTATAGGATTTTATTTATTAAGCTTTATGCACACAAACTTTTGTACCTAGGCGGACTTAATGCCGTGGGCATTATCTACCAGTCTGATCTTTGGGTGATATTGATCTTCTCTTGTGCTTATTGTTACCATGACGGTAGTTGAGAATACAACTAGTCAAATATCATATTTATTTCTAAAAAAATGCCAATACAAAGATCTGGCAGAAATTACGATTAGTTAAAGTAGTAATGTTTTGAAATATGATATATATGTATATAAATTAACTGAGGGGATCAAATTATGACTGTCTGGAAATAAAAGTAGGTGGCACTCATTACATTAGTCACTAAATACAAAGCCAATATTACAACTACACCATGTAAAGACCTTCGAAACGTCAAATATATCAAAAGGTCTGTCCGTCAGTAAAGCTAGGTGCTCGTTCCAAAACGTAGATTCCTTGATTACTCAACTCTCTGGTTGCACTTTCTCTTTTATTTTTTATTCCAATCAAATTTATACGTTTTTCTCTGTCAGTCACGATTCGTTCAGACTATTTCCGACAAGGATTTCTTCCTGTGTCTTGAGTCTCATGAATTTACAAATATGCAACTTAACATATCTATACACACATCACACCCAAACCTAGAACATAAATTTGTCAATCAATGAGTTTTTACTCAAATCCTACCACTGATTATAATAATGCTCGTGTTATATTATTTTTTATATATTTTTTTTATGTCAAGGTTAGTCCCATGTCAAGCCAAGCATTATGTATATATAAATAGGCTATCTGTCAGTTTTAACGAGATATCAATTATTAACTTATCGAAGATAAAAAATCCCATAATAAATTTATCAGATCAAAAATACCTAAATTTAAAATCTGGGTTTTTCAAAAATAAATCGCAATAAATGAGTCTATGAAAATTACCAATTGATAATTGATAATCTATTTAAGTTGAATATCAAATTGCGACAGGAATAACCGATGTGGAAAATACTTAGATTAAAGTAATCTGTCTAATTGACTAGATACAAATATATATGATGGAGATAATGTCGGGTTGACATCAACTACTTAAAATCATACTCAGAGTCATTGGTAACTTTACTCAGACATTAAAAAACCTTATCAGAAAAAAATCATTACTAAAGAATTGTTTAAGTATATATACCTCTCTGAGTACAGCTGTAACATTAAATCTACTAATATGCTTTAGCTTTCCTGTGCCTCATTGTATAAGTTACATCAGTATTAACAAAACACTTTTCAACAAAGCGTAACAATAACTAAGAACCACTTTTGCATCTATCTCAAAAATCTCTTTAAATTCCCTTGTATTTCGCAAAGTCACAGGCAAAGCTCAGTAATTTATGATTTATATCCAGGTGAACGTTTTGTAAATAGCTCGGCAGGTTAATGATAATGAGAGTCATTAGGGCTACGGATAACGGACGATATTGTTAGTAAAACGCTTTATGTTTTAAACTTAAACGACCTTCGTAGAAAACCACTTAGGACCTATTTTGCTTCTGCAAAACAAATGATCAATTTGTTATGCTGGTTTAAAAATATAAAACGTGATTAGGGAAAGTAATCTTTATGGCATGTGTGCAAAGATGTCACTATCCTACAAACGTGAAAAAATATTTCGTCTCCTGTAGTTTTAGATAAGAAATCTTCATTGGTCTTAGATGATTAAAAATGGCTGACTTACATAAATCATATCAGTCATCAATGCAGATTGTTTCAACTGCTCATCAGGAAAGTACTCTTGATACCCAACTCCTGCGCAGAGGTGAGCTGAAGCTATTTTCTTGTTGTACTCAGGTAACATGGAAGCCATCACTAGAAATACTGTGCCACCCTGACGAGAAACAGATAGTTATCAATAAAAAATAATGAAATGAAATGTGGGAGAGCCATGCTTCGGCACGAATGGGTCGACTCTACCGGAGTAATACCACGGCCTCACAGAAAACCGGCTTAAAACAACCACAGCGTTGCGTTTGCCGTGTGAGTGAGGCCCAATCCCACTTCTTCAATCCCTAAATCTCTAAATCCCGTGGTGTCTATGGGCGGCGCCGATTGCTTACCATAAAGTAATCCACCTAGTAGTTAGTTGACCTATTATATAAAAAAAATTAAAGAGACAGAAGTTTGATATATCGGTGAAATTTACAGAACTTAGGACGGAGAAGAAGGTGTCTAGGAAATAGTTTGAAAATAATAATTACATTATCAGAGAAATTATAAAATTTCATTGAAGAATTATTACCTGAGAATGCCCAATGTAATGGAGCTGGTCTTTCCCTGTTTGCTTAAGGATATAGTCAATCATTGCTGGTAAGTCAAGCATACCAATCTCTTCCCAGCTGAAATCGAAGAATTCGTACTTCTGCACCTCATCATCAGGGTTCAGAGACACGTGGGCTCGGGAATTCTTGTTACCTCTTGCATTTCCCATCCAGACATCAAATCCTGCATCTGCTAGATGGTAAGCTGAAAAAAAATTGTGAGACAATAAGTTAGGAACTTTATTATCTGATCTTGGCCAGTATTCTGGGACCAATTATTTGCAAATTTTCCTCTGTAAAGATGGAGAGACTTACCAAAGCTCGTCTCAGGTCCGAGCATAACGAAGACTTGAGAAGCTGACATGAACCCGTGCATCACTAAGACCACAGGACGGTCTTCTGTCGTGTCTTTGTTCGTTCTGCCGTGTGGGATCCTGTGCATCTCTAAGATGTATCCATCTGAGGTGGTGACTTTATGGGCTTCAGCTTCGAAGCCATCTGCTTTGATTTTTTCTATCTGGGGAAGATTAGTTTGTGATAAATTTAGTGAATGTTTAGAATTTTCTTCTTTTAAAATCTTCTTTTGTTTTGTTTTTTCTTTGTTTTTTTTTTATAAAACGTTGGGATTACACACACACCACACTAGGATTTTCTCCTGTGTCGTGGGTGCGGTTACAAACATTCAATTTCACATACACATGACACCCAGACCCGGAACAACAATTTGTGGATCACACAAAGAATTGTTCCGTGTGGGAATCGAACCCGCGACACGTTGCACGGCAGCCAGTTGCCCAGCCACCGCATCAACCGTGCAGTCAAATCTCAATCTTCTCTATTGCATGCTTATGAAGACCTTGATTTTTCCCTATTTTGATTTTAATGCAGTTTACAATTCAAACCACCTTGATTCTAAAGGCAATATAACGTAAATCTTCGGTGAGTTTAAAACAAGATTCTCTCGTTAAATTAAGAAAACAAGGACGAATTCTTCGCTCGAGTGTTTTTAAGACTAAGTTCCTAGGTAGGCCCATTTATTATCTCAGAGGTAAATTCTTCAACAGCAGTAAAATATATAGGCCGCATAAATTTTGGTTTGTTAGAATAAATTTATTTACGACTTCATTTAGACTTTGAAGTGAATCTTGTTGTTCTCCTTTCTCACGGGCAACTTAGGATAATAACAATTAGGTTAATCTTAATTAATTTGTTAATAATATAATTTATGATAAATATAAAAAAAAATACAATTTATATTAGAAGAGTGTTAACGGTAAAAGCGATTTATTTTATTTTAAAGATCGATCGAATAAATTAGTCTTTTCATCTATAAGATTGCAGAGGAAGTACCTAAAATAAGTACAGTGCGGCCGACGTATCTTGGCGAGTTTGAAGTTAGCCGATTAGCTGCGCAGTACACAATTTTGTTCCTAAAAGATCCATTGCGCAGACAAACGGCTAACTACAGACTCGCCAAGATACGTCGGTCGCACTGTATGTGAGGATATTAAAGAAATGCCCCACCTCTTTAGGACATTATCCCAATGACAACCGTTACAATTCGATATTTTTTGAATTGTGGAAATGAAGCGTTTCTGTGATTTTCGTTTGAGAATACTAAACAGGACGTCATAATTTTTTCACCAATAAACCTTATTTCTTATAAATTAAGTAAGAAAATTCTAATAATATATACTAAATAAATGAGCATATAATATTTTTATGTAGCTACTCTTGTAGATTTATTTATGGAAATATATTTCTCTCAACCTTAACCAAAATAGAAACTAATTGTTAGGTATTAACATTACTCTCTTAATAGCAGCTACAAATTGCCATCCGAATGCAACTGTCCTTAATTTAAATAAATATTTGGTTCTGTACAGTATTAATACTTTGAGAGCGATCTCCATTCTCTCCTAGATAACAGTATTTAATGAGCTGATTTGATAAGAATCAACATATATCGAGACATCTTTATATAGCAATTTAAGCTGATAATAGTTAAAGGTAGGCATAATGTATTCAATGATTTATAACACTGATAAACTTGCCATGTTTATTTGTCGGTTATTCTAGTCTAGTTGAAAATTGCACCATATTATTATATTGTTATTCTAACAAAAAAAATGAAGTTGATGTAATAAATGAGGATTTTATTTTTGACCAAGTAAAATATAGGATTAACCTAGACAAATACATTACGATTTTCGAATTTGTTTGAATTGTCTGTTGTGTGTTGTGATACGTTATATTTTTGGGTCAAAAATCACTTCAATTTCGTGAAAATTTGTAAGTGTAATACGGTATACCTAATTTATGAAGAAATAATCACAGTTTCGTGTTTGAAAGTGTTTCTTTTTAGTATTGATAGGTCGAAACTATACAACTTTACCCCAAACCAAAATTGTTTTAAAATTTTGAATTTATTCAAGAGAAATATTTTTTTTATCTTTACACGAGACTGCATTTAATGATTTTTAATCAAAGAAGTTTTCAAAAAAGAAACTTAAAATAAAACACCCACTGAACGTACTACTACAAAACTAATAAAAGCCATAGTCAACTACAGACAAAACTACTTACGGTTTGATAAACAGAATAGCTTGCATTTGTAGCAACTATCGTTAAGAGAACACATGCGAACAATTTTAACACTGCCATTTTTCAGCAATACAATTATAACTACTGGGTAACACACATAGTTCAGCAAATATATATAAAAGCTTATCAGTTTTAACAGTACTATTTACTTCGTTATTGTATAGGTTTTACTTTTACGGTGGTAGATAAGTACTATCATTTTACGATTTGATTTGTTGATAATTTACTATTAAGTTGTAAAAATAAATCGATCGCTTGTTTTCAAGTTCGAGTTTTATTTTTTTCTTTTGTTTTCCCGTGTTTCGTATGCGGAAATTGGTGTTATTTTCTTGTGTGGGTAAGTTAGAAAGCATCTATTCAGATCATTAACTTTTTTCTTTTGCTTCTTTGTTTTCAAGTGTACAGTCACACAATGTTATGTTTTTCTTTTTTCTTAACTGTTTTATTATCTCCAATATTAACGATATAGGAATGAGATTTTTTTAATTTACGAGGGAATGCCCTAGAGGAAAGAGTTTATCATCAGTTTCTAATTATTTAACTAAAATAACCACAAAACGTATACCTAGTTTAAAGTTATTGGCAATAGGATGGTTTTCAGCTAATAAAACCCTGACACACCTTCTCGCCAAAAACAGATTAAGAGAAGCCAGTCAACGAATTTGGCATTTCAAAAAAAAAACCTTATATCAAAAATATACTTAAACGAATTTAACACGATTTTACGTCATATAGGTAGATAAGATAATGCGTAATAGCATATTACTTAGGTCACAATTAGACTATCAAGTGACAGGACATAGCTTTTAGGTTAAGTACATTGACCAACAAAGGTCAATGTTAGTTCAAAATAAAATACTTCAATACACAACGTGAACGTACAAAAAAAATCACACTTTTTATTATAACTTATAAATTAATTATTATGTTTTCGGCTTACTCACGAACTTATTTGACGAGGAACTCGACTAGTTTCAAGCCATATATAGGCCCATATTTATGAGCAGCATTTCGCGACATGCGACGCTGCTACTCCAGCATCAGTAACATCGCGACAGTCGCCGCGTCGCGTGTCGCGGAATGCTGCTTATGAAAATAGACCTCTAGCATATATTTAGCTACACATAAATAAATTGGAAACAGAAAAAAGTCGTAACGTCATGTCACTCCAGTATTAATTTTTCATACATTTTGATATGACGTTTTCCATAAGAGAAAAATATAATGATATTATATTATATAACTGAATTTGCGTCTAAAATTGTTGTACTAAGACTGTTTTTTAAGTGGTACGCAGGCAAATCAAATCAAATCAAATTCTTTATTTCAAGTAGACCACAAAAGGCACTTTTGAACGTCAAGCAAAAAAGATATCATAAGGTTTAACTTTATATGTGTCAGTCTGTCCGTCTGTCCTCTAGTGAAGCTATTTGCTCGTTCCAAAGTGTAGATTCCTATGGAGAAGAACGAGCAAGAAACTCCATGGTTACTCTTTTTCAATCACTTTTTACAATGCATTGTTACATAATTTCTCAAAAGAGTACGAAACGCACATGGTCACCCGGAGTTTCAAATGCGTTGCCGACATTATGGGGATAAGGGAAGGATTGTGTCGCCGGAAACCTCAGTCATACGGCGAAAGATAACGCTGTGATTGTTTCACGGTGGTTTTCTGTAAGGGTGTGGTATCACTCCGATCGGGCCAAACTATTCGTGCCGAAGCATGGCTCGCCAACACTTTATGCAATTGGTATAAAAAGATATCCTGATATTAAACAATTTAAGTTGAACTCGTGTACTAATATGGTGTATTTGACTTTAAACTTAACTTTTACTTTGACTTTTAACTTCTTTAAAGATAGGTACTTTAGAACCTTTAATCTTTTGTTTAATTCTCCATTAAATACTCGAAAAGGGTTATTTTACAAAAATGTCAGTCGTGCATATAAATTAAGATGATTATAAGGATCTCATTGTGTAAGATCATTAGCAGCGGTGTTGAACGCATCATTACTTTGGGCCCATGTGGGTGGCAACCTTATGTTACCCTATTTTGTTTATTTATCCTCAAATTAACTCTTAATTCAACCTTTAACCTTGTAATTTGTGTAATTGTTTCGATAAATGAGCCTTCATTTTGGCGACATTTGTGCCTTTCGCGTGGTTTTACCCTCTTAAAGTTTATTCTTTCATTCTGTGAAATAAAACCAGTAATTGTTCTGATATTAGTTAATTTACAATATAAAACCAATTTAAATTTGTACTACTGAATTTGAAATAGAAACCGACTCATGATATTTATTTTGATGGTTTCGTTACATTCAGATTATAATCACGCTGTTCATAATCTGCTTACACAAAAGCAATAAGCTAACACCCACACAACCTTATCCAAATCAATTCTACCTCCATCGCCAAGGAGTATAAACTCTCGACTTTTAACCATAAACTTTTCAAAGTATAATAATATCAGAACCCTTTAATTGGACCAAGATAACGGAGATCAAGGAATTCCGGTTGAGAACACAGCAGACGCACCACTTTCAGTAGCAACTATAAAATCGCTCGTCATTGCAAACAATATGTTGAAACCGATAAAAAAGTTATTTTTATGACATTGGTCAGCAAACGAGCAGACGGACTACCTGATGGTAAGCAATCGAAGCCGCTCATAGACTCTCTTAATACTCTTGTGGCTTATTAGGGATTTACTGATAGGCGTTTTGAGGTTAGAAGATTGGTGGAGAGGAACGGGTTAGTCCTACGATAACCTCACTCAAACAGCGAAACACAACTTAAGTTTTGCTGCACGCCGATTTTCTGTGAGGCCGTGGTATCACTCCGGTCGAGCCGACCCATTCGTGCCGAAGCTCTCCCACAATTATAACGTTCCACTAGCTTATTTGTAACGTGTTTGCCAAAAACGATGGGTTTTATAAAAAAAAAAAAAAACGAAGAAAAAATCGAAATAAAAATGCTCTCATAGTACTAATCAAATATACGAAATAAAATCACATCACTTTTGTTTATTTTGGTTCAACCAAGAATCGACGCAATGGCTCTTACCAAATCGTTCATCGCCAATACAAAAAGTAGCGTGTTTATACCGCTTACACTTCTAAACGAATCAAAAACTTTTAATGGCGTAGAAAAGGAACTCGAGACTGCACGGGTTGAAACAAATAAACTTGACGAATGAGTAACGACTTAAGTTTTTCATGACGACACTCAAAGACAAGGTTTCAGACAATTTGGGACTACTTTAGAATTTATAGGTCTATTAATCTGTCTTGCCCTTGCAGATGAAGTTTGATGTAATGGTGGACAAATTGTACTGTATAATACACTAGCTACTCCCGCGTGGTTTCACTCACTCCTCGGCTCCATTTGATTGTAGCGTGATGTTTTATAGCCTATAGCACTCGGGAACATTGTAGCTATCTATCAGTGAAAGAATTTCGGGAATCCGACCAGTGGTTCCAAAGATTAGCCCCTACATACAAACTTAGAAATTTTACCTCTTTATAATATTAGTATAGAAGTATAGACTAGCGACCCGCCCTGGCTTCGTACCGGTGCAATGCTGATACTAAATTTCGTCGTATTTAATGTTTCAATGTATTTTACATACAAACTTTCCTCTTTAATCACTCTTTCTATTAAAGAACCATATTAATATCCGTTGCAAAGTTTTAAAGATTGAAGCGTACATAGGAATATAGAGACAGAGAAAGCGACTTCGTTAATGTTATAAGTGACTGACAGAAATTCATTTATAAAAGTTATTTTCAGTAGAAAAGAAAAAAATTCTTTTAACAGTTTACGAAAGTTGAAACTACCTACACCGTTTAAGACTACAAGTTCTTTAAATCAATATATGAAATCCAAGCAAATACAATAGAACGGTTCATGGCTTAGTTATCGTTCAGGTAGAACCGTATAGCCAGCCAGTCGAGCTGTATAAAGTCACGTTCACTCAAACAGCGGCTCTCAGCACGTACCGCTGATTTCCACAGATCGGAAACTCCAGTTTAAAAATCTAAAGGGTTACTTTTACTATGTTGTTTTAACATGGAAATTGTGATGAGATTCTTCGCTTCGAAGACTGATGGAAATGGCTTCTGAGTTGGAGAACTTTTAAGACTATTTGCGTACAAGTTACTTCATGTGAGTCACTTTGTTATGAGAGTACAGTAACAAAAAATGTAGCTTTAGATCTGAAGAATAATTAAGGGATGATTAAAAACCACTTCTACATAATTAGGCATCGAACCAATTGGCTTAAATGACTAGCCGTTAGATCGGAAGGTTGAATGTCTCATTCAGGCAGTTGAAGCACTAAGGGATTGTTTTGAAAGCCTGGTTATATAAGGACTGACATTTATGCATAAATAGAATCGCCATCTATACTAATATTATAAAGAGGTAAAATTTGTAAGTTTGTATATACTAACTTACATTTTATTTTACACTTTATTTTACATTTTAGCGGGTAATCTTTGTAACCGCTGCCTGGTCGGATTGCGAAAATTCTATCACTCATAGAAAGCTACAATGTTTCTGAGTGCTATAGGCTATAAAACATCACGCTACAATCAAACTCTACATCATTTTCCACCGATTGCGTAAGAACTAACCACTGAAAAATTTTTGTTACTTTTTTATTCGAATTATCTCTAACATGTCCTCCATTTTCTTTACCGATCATGAATTGTCTCGATTAATCAATAAATAATAGAACTTCATTAGTAACGCCAGTAGCTGAGCCAGCATATCTCTCATTCCTTTGTCACAAATCCTTGGCTTAATCGTGACAGTCGAGTTTCCTGTATCGAGGATTACGCTTAAATAATTAAGTACGGCCAATAGTGCTGCGCTTTGATACGTCAGCGAGCGGGATTTAAAATCGGAAATTGAAATGTTGCAATATGCAATGTGTAATAAACGATAAATGTCCGATGTATATTTTGCTATTAAAAGCGGATTCATTACTGTTTGGAATTGAAACCGTATGTATCTTGGTAGGTTTCCATTTTTGTAGTACCTAAAGATTCATTTGTTTTTTTTTACATTGGAAATGAAATAGATAGATGTTTTTTTTTGTAAGTAATTTTTTTATTTTTACTTTTGCCTTAAACAAAATGAAGGTATGATAAACATGAGGCAACCCACACGAGTTCCGTTTCCCTTTTAGGGTTCGTTTCCATGTGAAGCTAATGATGTTGACATGTTTTTATTTTACAGTATAATGTAATTTTTGACTGAATATATTCAAAGTAATATTTTATTTGTCATTCATTTCAATCCTTAAATATAAGCTACTCATAGTTTAACTGACATTTTGTATTTACCTTTAGGGCTGGTTTTTAAATGGTTAGATAAAAATTACCCGGGGAATAATTATGCTGCTGTCGCGTTACAATGTTTGTATAAGACAGTGACAGCAACAATTTTATTCCTCAGATTTATCTGCCTACTGAAAAAAGTCACTTCAACGGATCATTAATTCGTTTATGTATTATAAAACTACATACAACATTTCAGCACAATCTCTGTTGTCGACATCCATTAAACATATTTCAAGTAGGTACACAAGCAAATATAATCCTGAACATACTAGGTAATAGCTTTCTGAATAATTTGAATTTCGCTGAACAAAATTTAAAAGTTTAATAACGTCGATTAGAGATTGGGATCGGAGCAATCGGGCGTTAAACTGCATTGAAAATACGGGGCTCTACGTCCCGCGCACAATGCGATCGGGGCGTGACCGAGAGGTGGGACATCCCGGCTTCGCGGGGTAATTGCCAGCTGTCCCGGCGAGTTACAGCCCTACCTGTGACGCATCTATTCTCTATTCTGGAATATATGTTCATTACGATGCATTATCAGTCAGTCAATATTGATTTAAGCATGCTCTGTGAATTGGAGAGTGTGAATGCGATTACGACATGAAATATTTTTGGCAATTTATTCCAAACTTTTTGGTGAAGTATGAAAATACATCAATATGATTGAGCTATTTGGATAATTAGGCAACAGTAGATGGGTTTCTTACTCTCATATTTATTTGAAAATCTGTTCAAATTCAGATCACTTATCACAGTACCAAAACATTGGTATCAAATGCAAAAGTATTGTTTGGTTGGATTGAGAATTAAATGATATTAATCTGCTACGTACCTCGGTTTTTCTGCATAAGATTGTTATATATTAAGTCAAGTTTTATTAACAACTGTTTGTCTTTTGTTTCAGGTATGTTTCATGCGAGAGTCGCCGTGCCAGAAATATGGAAATTCGATATTTTTTGGCAATTATTTCAACACTTCAATAATAATTCACTTAAATATTTAAAAATAATATTAACATTTACATGACAATACAATAATATTCAATTTTCGAATTGTTCCGAGATTTTAAATTTTTAATTTAATTTTCGAATTATTTCGTTCATGAAACAAATATAACGTTCAACCAATAACTGTGATGAAAAACTACGATGACTTCACAGGTTTGTATTCCACACTTCTAGAAATGCATAGTTTTCAAAATTTCGACAAGAATATTCAATTTGACTACATGTCACATACGGTATTACAAAGAACTTGACATTGAACGGAATACTTTTATCTGTCAGTAAGTAGTTATTTCGATAGGTCAACGTACTCATGTATATATATTTATCTATAGCTTACATCACGTGTCCGTATCGACTAATCCGAAGATCAGTAAGTATATTAAATATTTAGGTCACGACGAATTCAGTAGATTTGTTTTTTGCACTTTTATGGCACCTTTTTTGTGAGGGGAAAATCATTCAAATGACTTCTTCCGCTCAGGGTCGGGCGGGAGGGAGCGTCAGACTTTTATTGGCTAAAAACCCCTCCGTTCGTGTGTAGTATGTGTGTGTGTGTGTGTGTGTGTGTGTGTGTGTGTGTGTAGAGTGCGTAGGTAACGCGAATAAAATTAAATGTTTTGTTATATATGAAAAAACCAACAAGAAATATTATGCCACTGGCAGTAATTGTCAGTCAGCATTTGAAAGTCAAAAAATGACTTTAGCCCGAAGGCAAGCGAGTGTTAGACTCCTACTGACTAAAAACCACCTCGTTATCACTTGCCCCGCAACCCCAGCTGAACATCGTACCTGTTTTTTTACATGTAATAAAGCTGGCTATTTTTAGCAATACTTCAAGTCTAGGCTTTTTTTTCGAAGTAAACCGCTTGACTAATGCTTCTAAGATTTTCCCGACACGTGATGTCTCAAAATTGCCCACCTCATTTATTTCACTAAACACTTGACGTGACAGAATGTCGATACAGCCGCTTGCCTCGTAAGTCGCAGTTTGGGAAAAATACTCTCAAAATATACGAAGGACTTCAAAGACAGCGATAAGATGATGATGTAATGTCGACAAAATATGAGACACTCTGCCTATTGAAAATCCTAAATGGTTGCACTAATTTTGTATGGTGAAAAACATTTAACCTTTGGCCATATTTAAGAAGTCTTTAAACTATATCAATCGCTTTCATTCAAATGGTCAAAGAAAAATCTCAGCGCCTGACAAAAATATACAAGCAATAAGTTGAAGCAACGCAAGATTGCTAATCGAACTCGTCTAGGTGAAAGCAGTCACGCTCTTGCTTTCAACCCTTTCTGTTTTGATGACACTCGTCACTCGTATTGAATGTTGTAAAATTTTAGTCTAAGCAATAAAAGCGCTTTACAGTTCTCAATTCAGAGTCATAAATATTTTCATAAACATGATTGGAATTTCAATTTGGGCAAAGGCGGTGGGTACTTTATAAATTTCGCCAAATGTAATAATGAGTCCTTCTACAGCGCTGAATAAATTTTAATAGGCACCGGGTACGGGTGGGTACTTGAAAGAAATAAACGAATATTACGAAATAATGTTTATCGTAAGCACTAAGTACTTAGGCTACACTTAGCGTTCCATTTAGTTTGATTTTGAACGAGTGCTTGGGAAAGAGGCCACTTCTAATTTCATGTACCTGAAAAAAACTAGATTTAAAAAATAAAATCAGTTTTCTTCGAAGAAGTTGTTCATTTAAATAAGTACTGAACAAATATTAAAACATTTTTTTCTGTCGTGTTTATATTAGTAAATGATCCTTAAGCTACACTAGCGCCATAAAATTTAATGCGAAAATACCAAAACAAGTCTAAAGATCGAACTATATCTTTAAAATATTTGACCAATAACCGTATAATATTTAATCCCGGGACGGATAATATAAGGGACGGTTATCTTTATACCGCCAAAGATTATAATAAGTACTTTAGATAAAATTATTAAACGTAAGTGCCCTTTTACGATAAAATATAATGTTTAATCTTGAAGTTTGAGGTTCTCGTTGCAAATTACCCCGTGGATTGAAGGTTGGTAGAGGAATTTGGAACTCTTCAAGCCGTGTCGTTTATCTTCACGGACATCAATGAAAGTTGTTATGCCTTATAACTCTATAGATACCTACTAAACGTAGAATTTTAATTTAGTTTGAGAGGACAGGCATGGAAAACCGACGTGAAACAACCACAGCGTTGTCAGCCAGGGTTGCGGGGTAAGCACAATGAGGCACCGCGACCTCGGCCCAGAGGAGGAGAAGGAACGGGGGTGTTTCTTAGTCAGTAATAGTCTGGCTCCCTCCCGCTGGGTCCAAATTCCGGGTCCGTGCCGGCCAAGTCATTTGACGATTTCGCCCTCACGAAAAAAGCGTGTTTCGCGTGTAAGTGAGGTTGCCGGAGGCCCTCCTAGCCCCTATTTTGAATCCCCAGTTCTTCCATCATTAAATCCCTAGCAAAAAACAAACCTCCGGCAACGCACTTGTACCTCTTTTGTTGTTTCGGGTGTCCATGGGTAACACCGATTGCTTAGCATCAGGTGATCCGTGGATTCTTTTGCCGATATACTTACGTCAAAAAAAAACATATTTTTATCTTTAAAATTCTTAATATCGGTGTTCTAATTATTTTCTCTTTTTATAAACAATGACGGTTCTAATTAAATATATTGTAAGTGGATTTATAAGATTTTTGTTGGCTACAAATTAGTGGCATTACACTTAGGGCTTGTTTCACCACCTTGATATAAGTTACCAATAAACGTATGTGGCACATAGTTCATATACATTATGCTCTTAGCTTATTTGATTCCTATACTTAAATATAAAACAAAAGTTTTTGTATCTTGTAAACCGCTATTCCTGCGAACAGCGAATTTCGCTTTTGAAAAGCTATTGTTCTATTCGGATTAATTTTTTAGGTAGTAGGTACAAAGTCTTCAATCTATACAATTTAGATAATATTGTAATAGTATGCACGTTTTTACCTAATAACTGGTTATTATCAGATCAAAATACTTTCGTTACACGTGACATTTATTGCTTAATAGTGTTTTGTTAATTGGAGAGTTTTATAGTTTCAAATTGTACATAGGTACATAACATACCTGAAATGGTAAATATTTTATCTAAATATTCATTCGCTGATGTTTAGAAGATCCATTTAAAATTAAACTTAGATCTCCAATACTCGTTCTATCTATTCATTTTTTTTTAATGTAATAGGTCGGCAAACGAGAAGACGGATTACCTGATGGTAAGCAATCAGCGCCGCCCATGGACACCCGCAACGGAGGAGTTACAAGTGCGTTGCCGACCTTTTAGGGTTAGGGATTTGGAGATTTAGGGATTGAGGAGGGATTGGGGGCGGGGAAGGATTGGGCCTCCGGTAACCGCCTCGCCGTGTGAGTGATCACACGGCGAAACACAACGCTGTGGTTGTTTCACGCCGGTCTTCTGTGAGGCCGTGGTATCACTCCGGTCGAGCCGACCCATTCGTGCCGAAGCATGGCTCACTTAAACAACAAAATTACCAACAAAAAGTTGGCCTTCTCCTATAATGGAACTGATATGCAGAGGAATATGGTTTCCTGAACAAAAAAGTAGTTGTGTCTGCATGTGAGATGGGACACTAGGGCTGTATTTGTGTATTATGTAGTCAGTAAGTCTCACAGCCTCTTTTATCTGCCTCAAACAGGGAGTCTCCATGACAATTTTCCACATTGAAATAAAAAAAAGTGTTATACAGTATAAGCTTAAGCGCAACCCTAACTTAGTTAGGAAAAATGCCTGGGGAAAGAGGTTTCACTAAATAATAAAGTTTTAATTTGGCGTCAACTATTATGGCGGTAGCCGCGCTAATTTAGAATGGGCTATTATACTTTATTTTGTTGCTTTACTGTTTTAATTATTAAACTTGTTAATATTTGAACACTGACTACAGTTTTGTAATGAAGAAGTTCAACATTTTGAGGTTATGTAGTACATCGTCATTATTTAAATACAGTTCTGTTATGTAAGTTAAACTAAGCTAAGCCCTAGCTTAATTTAACTTACATTACAGAACTGAGGATGTATGTTAAGAATAGATCCTAATCTATTCTTATCATATATAACTAACACATATAAAACAAAGTAAAAATGCCCGTAACTTTTGCCTTAGGTTTTGATCGAACTGCGATATTTTAGTCTGTATATGTATAGAGCACCCGCTCTATAGCATTTTTTTAAATAAAGAAAATCCAATTTAAGTAAATAAAATTTATTGAAAAAATAACAGCCAGTGTGTAATCGATATTCTCGCTAGATGTCTTGTGTACGTGAATTGTATGTTTGAAAACGCACCCACGACACAGGAGAAAGTCGAAGTGTGGATTGATGTAGATTGAGTAAAATAATCCAAGGCAAATATTTTTCCTCTAAAAACATTAAAATATTCGCTCGATGTGATACAGTCTCTAACTCTGCAGTAAGTGTTGGCGCGTATCTGCTCTGCTCCATATGCCCACAAAATTGATGGTCTCTGATGCGGCGTTATAAATGTGCCGTCAGCTCGTAATGCTGCATGCTGGCTGATGGATCGTCTCAGCTAAAGGCATCCTTTTGTACGATTCACGTTTTATCACACGAAATTGGAAATTAGTCTTAGTAAAATGAAAGTGGCTCCACTATTTTAGAACAATTGTCGAATAGTAATTCCAATTTTCTGTTCTATCATGAAATTTAAAATTAACATGTAACATTAAGCAGTGTTATGTGCGAGTATATATTATAGAATGCTATTTATTTATTATTTATGCAAGTAGGTGACATTAAAATTACGGTAATAAAGATCTCGACCTCCTGAGTAAACGAACCTCTTTAGTACCACCTTCTAGCAATCCTTTGTTCATCTTCAACACGTCAGTCACTAACAAATGTCACCTTTATTAGTAACAAAACACCTTTTTTATTGTTTATTTTTATACGCCTGAAAATATCGAATCCAGATTTGGCCTGTGTACTGTACAATGACGATTATAATTGAAGAATCGGAGGAAATACCATGTTCACAATGCGACAGGCTGCGACAGACGTTTATGCTGATCGCGCTGTCGGCTGTCATGCCGATGGTGGTGTTCGCTGCTATCCTCCTCTTCACGGTCACAGAGGAGGTGAACATCCAAGTCCAGTTCACAACAGGACTAATAGTGGAGTTCGTGTTCGGGCTTCTCTACGTACAACTATTCGTAGCTACGTCAATTTTGATCATCAGTTTTATGAAGAGGAAGCAGCCATTACCTTTGATGTACCACTATTACTACTTTTTCTTCCATATAGCCGTTGTGGGCCTGTTCCTCGGATCCACCTTCGTGATGACCTTGGTGAACACTGCGTACATTATTTCTGGATTAGTGTTTTTCGGTGGTTCTTTATATTTTTACAATTTATATAATTTTATGGAGAATAACAAGGATATTTGGCCCACCTTAAGAAGAGCTTATTAAATCATCTTATGTATTTAATAAAAAAAATTTTTTATTTTTATCAAATCTAAAAATATTTTTGTATTAATAAAGTATGTATTTAATAAAAATATTTTTTTATTTAATAAAGTTGTAGTCCAATAACTTTAAATTGTTTGCCAAGTTTTCAGTGAGTTTGGCTTTTCGGTAAGTCTGATAAGTTGTGGATCTGGTGTAATTGTGTTATAGTGTTAGTTAGTAACTTGTCTGTATTGATGTCCCTGGCTAGACAGTTGACACTAAAGTTATGGGTCCCTCTCAGTTTGGGTAACCGCAATCTGTTTTTGATAAATGTTGTTATAAAGTTGAAGATTTATGTATACAGATTAGTCTGCGACTGACAAAATGACGTCGTGGCGTATTCTGTTACCAAGAAAAATTGAGCAAGGGAATTTCTCAATCACAGGATATCACGTTAAGTTTCATAATACCCATTAAACTTGTACATATTTACATAACATTATATAACATCCATCATCCCAATCCTTTCCCTCCCCCAATCCCTCCTCAATCCCTAAATCTCCAAATCCCTAAAAGGTCGGCAACACACTCGTAACTCCTCCGTTGCGGGTGTCCATGGGCGGCGCTGATTGCTTACCATCAGGTAATCTGTCTCGTCGTTTGCCGACCTATTACATAAAAAAACATATTTACTAAAGAAGTTTTATAGTTATACTTGCTGGCATTCTAGGAATATATTAAAATAATTAATATAAGTTGCATTGAATTGGCATGTTACTGAGGTTGCAGTATTGATAGTACAGAGACATTACTTGATATTCGACTAAAAAAGTCAGTATTTGAACTCTACCACGTAGTAGTAAATGAGTTCCAACTTTACTGAAAAAAAATATTTAAATATCTCTTATTTATAAAATATCTATTAAGAATGCGTTTTGCTTTAAGACTACACAAGCTTTCCTTTTCTTTTAGTCTAAAGATTCTCAAAGCATTTTTGCTAAATCGTTCCAACCTAGTAAGAAATAGCTTTGCCCTGCGGTAACTTGAGGCTAACTTAGTTTACTTAATGGCTACCAAGTTTATTATTCTACTGCTTAGTATTTCATACAGTTTAAGTAGTTGTGAAGTTCGGCGAATTGATACTTTTTGCTAGGTAGTTAAATACCCTATTTGTGTTTGCAATTCTAGACCTTCTTCGTTTCATTTCGAACGAATATGAGTAATGTTTTGTTTGGGTAAATGTTTTTTAATGTGGTTTGATGTTCAATACAACGGATCGTGAGATTAAAGCATACATTTTAAAGTTTTAAATTGTTTACAAAGCTAGTTTGTTTGATTAACGACGATATTGTCATTTTTTTGAACCTCTATAAAAATGGATCGAGACAAATGCGCAAAATATTCTGATATTTCTCAGCATAAAATGTTTTGTACAGGGAAATCGAGTTCCAAATCCTATTAAGCACCATAATCGCTTGATCCACTAATCCCAAGGTCCTAGATTTATTCGTGCAACACAGGAGTCACTTCTAAGCCATTGTAAGCCGATTCAATTTATTAATGAAAGCTATCGTCACACTCAGCCCTCAACTTTGCCTTCCGAAATCGAATCACAACAGCAGCAAATTTGACGATTGTACGAAAAATATAGGCGAGAAAATAAATCTGCATATTAACGAAGTAATTAAAATATTCGTGTAGGAACATCTCGGCTTTGGGTGATAGGGGGCGTTCTTGCGTCCTTCCCAAGGCTTCGAAGCGAGCTACATCATAATCGGATTTACTCCCAACCTCACATAAAGTTTATGAATTTGCATAAACTTAACTATCGTATCAGCCTTTTATGTAAGCTTCGGTCGTGTCAATTAGGACTGGATTTTGCTTGTTAATTTTACAAACTTGTGATGGCGAAAATTGTAAGTCGTCTGCGATTACTTTTCTGGTTTTTTGTCAGTTAACGGTCTACGCTAGAACTTGGTGTTAACGATATTAATTAAAGTACAATATCTATGCGATAACCAAATCTAAATGAAGCTGTTTTGACTCTGCCTAAAGTGTTCTCTGAGTAAAAATCTAAAAGAATTCTTCAATAAAACAAACTGCCCCCTGAACGCATATATAGCACAGCACTAAAGATACAAACTCATTCATTTAATACATTCTAAAGTCGTCGTGGGGAAGATAACTTGTTGTTGTACCAAACTGAAACTTATTCCTACTACTACAGCGAGCAAAGGCGACTTTATAAAAAACTGGGCACCAGATAATAAAACCAGTAAGTTTACAAAGAGCTGAAGGAACAAATTGGTCTAACTTTTTAACCTTTTCTCATCAAATTATGTTTTGGTACAGCGACTTTTTCCGTTGGTATTTTTATGGTACTGCTCGTGGATTTTGAAGTGTAAATGATCGCCGTCAAAAATATTACTGAGTAATGAAGGTAAATACTGAGTTACAATTTGTGAAATCTGCTGCGGTCAACTTTTGGAGCGGTGCGATTTATACTTACCCCGTTTTTATGATTTAGTTCGTTTTTCATTTAAACTTGAGCTATGTCTCTTACAGCCAGATTTTTTGTGTGAAGATTCTTTTTATTTTTATCTTAGTAGCTGTTCTACTAAATATGGAAACATGATAATACGTATGAATAATAAAGAAAATAAGAGTACCTATGTATGTATTTGTAAATTACGAAAGTTTATGAGACTATATGATGTCGTCTCCTATTAATGAGGGTTTGGTTTCGACTTTTTAAGCACTAATGTGACAGTAGAGCAGTAGAAAAATGAAGAGACCGGTTTCGAACCAGTTATAGTCTGACACTCCCTCTCGGCCCATCCGGAAAGGAAGAAGTCCTTTGATGATGCACCCACTCAAAAAAAAAAATAATGAAAAGATAACAACACCACTCATAGTGTACAGAAATGAAATTATATTCCAGAGTTCTAAACATGTTTTCCCGATTAAATAATAATGTCATTAGTGATGCAGGGTGAAACATAATTTGAACCTTCCCCCAAAGGCTAGTCCGCTTGAAAAAGTGGAAGGTGATTACGTTATGATGTTTTATGTGATTAATTCATAGAAACATGGGGTTTTTTTTTTTTTTTTTTTAATCTTTATTTTATTTTTTATATTTGGGGTTTTTGTCCAATAAGGATATGCCAACCCCATCATACCTTGTAACAATATTGTCTCAATTAAAACTATGTAGGTATAATTAATAAGTACCAGAAAACCAACATCTTATATGCTTATATGTTGTCACTACCTACTGAGCGACCAATGCTAATCTACATAATTTTTTGGCAGCTTCAGATTTTGGGTTTGCCAGAATGCTTTGCACCAGGCCTATATCTAACCTGTTAAGTTTCAGTTCATACAACAATAAATCGCGCTCATCTTTATTCCGGACACATTCCATCAGCAAATGCTGCACATCTTCAATTATATTACACAATGAACAATTGGGAGAATTAGATTTTTTCATTAAGTAAGCAAACTTTGCCGACGGATAGTGTCCGGATCTAAGCCTAAGTGCTAGCTTAACATAATTTCTACTCCAGTTAATGCCATCGAACCAAGGGACACGAGGAAGTTCACCCTGTATGCTTTTGTACCAAACGCCTTTGTATCTAGATTTATTGTCAAATATTTGTTTCCAGTCATCAAAACATAATGCTTTAAATCTAGGTACTAATTCCCAATAGTCTGGTGCGTAGTCAACTATTCTACCATCTACTGTCGCCGACTTAGCTACACGGTCAGCTTCCTCGTTACCCTTCAAACCAATATGCGCTGGAACCCATTGCAATTTTATGTCTGTACCCCTATTATTCAAAATCATAATAGCTTTCAGGATGTCATAGGCTATCGTTGTACCTCTGCGACCAGAGGCGCAACGAGCCACATGTTGCAAGGCACTCTTACTATCAGAAAAAATAACAATTTTCGTCCATTGATGGATAATTCCGTAAGATAAGGCCTCATGTATTGCAATAAGTTCCAGCGTCATTATTGATACATCACTTTCAATTTTAAATCCTACTTCATGTTGTAAGGTTTTATCATAGAATCCAGCTCCTCGACTCATGTTACTTTTAGACCCGTCGGTAAATATTTTATGCCACCCAGCATAGTACTCGTTTAATTCGACAATAACATTGTTAATTAAAATATTGGGGTCGTAAAGGGTTTTAGAATACTGAATACTATTAAGATTTACACAAATTACATTTCTAATATCAATCCCTGTAACCCATACGTCTAAATTAAACATACTAAGAATACGAACAGAATTAATATTATGTTAAACATGGGGTTGGGACATAATATGGTATGTTATTATACCCACAGGGTTCATGATATATGCAGCGAATCACATGCTATTAAAAAATTACACTTTAATATTGTGTAGGTACAAGATTAATATTTGATAAAATTATGGTTAGGTGCTTATACTGTGTCCTTGAGTAAGTAGGATTTGACCATATTGTGACGGAAAACTCTTTGACATCATGACGTCAAGGGATGGTTGTCAAACGTTGCCTAGAGATTGTAAATTTCGTCGTGAATTGTCAACACGAGTTGGTGTAATCGGTAAGGCGTGTGGATTACACCACAGAGACCCCGAGTTCGAGTCCCGCCGTAAACATGAAGTTTTTTAGTTGATGGAAGTTTTGTCGAACTTTCTGGAATTATTTGAGTGAAAGAAATGAAAAATTAAGGAGCGAGAAGGAGAATAAATAAAAATGAATAACGAAATTATTGGAAGGTTCTGGAGGCATGACGATCAAAAAGAATAACGAAATTGAATGTTCTAGAACCTGACCGGGGGTATATAAGCGGAACTGCGGCTCACCGCTGGCAGTTGAGTTCTAAGTCTAAAGCGATTCGGAAGAAAAGGAAGAAGTGGAAAAGAAGAAAAGTGAGTGAAATAGTGAAGTGCAGTGAAATAGTGAAGTGCAGTCAGTTAAGTGAGTTAAATCAGCGTGAACGGCAAAGTTGTGTCAGTCGGCCGG